GGAGGTGACAGGCCTCAACAAAGTTAAGTATAACTTATGTGGATATTAATAGGAGATTCAAAAATCTAATTATTGTTGGAGGAGCAGTCACAGCTGGGGAAGGAAGAGTTTAACTTTACTGCCTCAGTAGCTAGGGCTTAGTAAATGAAATAATTCATAATAAATAATCCACTGGTGTAACAGGGTTTTTACAGGATTTTGGAAGTATTTTTCAAGACATTTTTACCAGAAATGTGGGTAGTCAGGAAAGAGGTGGCTTCCCACATAAGTTGCTTTGTCGACACTCTTGTTTGCTTGTTTACTTTGTACCATATGTGTACATTTGGGAGCAAACTTTGAACTTTGCAGGACTTACTTTTGAGTAGGCTTAAGATTGCATATCAATTTGGACCTCTCCAGTTTGAAAGAGAAGAACTGTGTTTTTAACTGACAGAGTCACACCTGTTTTAGGACCTGTCCAGTGGCTTTTGGGAGGGGGGAGGGAATTTCTGATTTCTCATTATTTATTTCTGTTAATCGTTTTGTATATTACAGTGGCTCCTGGTTATATTTTTATTCCTTTTGTTGAATTTCTTACTGTGGAGTTTTGTTTTTATTTTTCTGTTCTCCTCTTTAAGACATTTGTAAAAAGCAGCACATGAGCCCAAAAGCAATATATCTATTTGGGGTTTTTTAACCATAAGTTGTAGACGATATTAATTTGTAAAGGTAGTGAAAACTGTTAACTTCAGTATTTTACTATTGGATTAGTTATGGAGAGTTTTGGAACAAGTCACTTAATATGCCAAGTTCTCAGGAAAGTATTAGAATTAATCATGCACATATGCAGATAAAGGTTGCTAGATATTAAAGTGTGCAAAATTCTTTCATTTTATCCATCTCCTATAGTGCAACCTAAGGCATCAAGGAAAGTACTTGACATTCAGTGGAATATACATATTTATATACTAATTTTATATGAAAAATCACTACTTTAAAATTTTATTTTAAGATTATATACTTTTTAAACACATGTTTATAAGATATCATCGTACAAATATATAACCATAGCATGAAAATACTAAAATATAGAAAAAGGAGCCAAAAAGGCCAATACAAAAAGAAGTTTTAAAATTCCATGTCTCTCCTTCCAGTGAGAAAGTTTCATACATAGAACCATGCAGAGAAGGCATTCTCTGTCGTGTAATTCATTTTACACTGTTTTACAGGTAGACCAGCTAGTGTGGGTGGAAACTGTTTCTACAAGTACCCTACTCCCAGCTTTATAGGGCTTTCACAGTAAGAGCACTTTGAATTGTGCTTACAAACAGACTGGGATTTGTAAAAGCCTTTTAAGTAATGATTTAATAAGTTTCATTTGCCTGGCCCTAGTTCATAATCTTTAATTTATATTTTGTATTGACTATTCAAACAAAGCCATCTGCATGTAAAAAAATGCAGTAAATTGGGCAAGTTCATTTTGTTGTGTTTCTTCAAGTTGTTTTTGACTTATGGTGACTCTAAAGTGATCCTGTTTTGGTCTGTTCTTCATTATTATGATTTTTATTAAGAGTTATGTATAAAATAAAACTTCGATTTGAAGAAGGTACATTGAAAGTGGGGGAACATTGAAATCAAAGAAAAGTTTGAAACTTAATAGAAAAAAGTGAGGTTAAAGAAAAGGGAAAGAAAAGAAAAAAGAAAAAGGGTAAAATAAGAGTATTTTCACTGTGGGTTGCTTCCAGGTTCAGTTTTACCAAAGTTCTATTTTTGTCTTAAATTCTTTTTGATTCACATAGCGTTGGTTTCTTATTTTTCATCCTGTCCCTTGAGTTTCTTTTAATTTTCCTTTATATAAATTCCTCTGTATTCCTTTTTTTAAAATTCCATAAACTTTCCCCAGTCTGTTTCCTGGTGTTGTATGTTGTTCTGTGCAAGTTTTTGGGTGAGGAGGTCCATATTAATGATGCCCATCACTCTCAGTTTTGGTTTGTTCTTGGTAAGATTTATTTTGTCTTTCTCTGAGGTTTAGAGATTTTGAGTTGTACAAGGTCACCCAGTGAGCTTTTGGCTGAACCAGGATTCAAATCCTGGTCTCTAGAGTAATATGGAACTTTTATTGATCATGAATAACCATGGTTAGGCTATTTCTGTCCAGGCAGGATCATAACAAATATTTAGCCTTGTTAGAGCCTAATGTTCTACTCATTGATTTCTACAGATATACTGTGTGCATCTGTGAGCATCCCCATTTCTTTATGGGAATACAATTTATTTAGAACATGGTGAATATCCCTTTGTTAATTAAAGGACCTATCAACAGCATGTCTGCTGTCTGGACTATATACTTCATTTAGGCTGTGCTGCATGGATGGATTTCTAGTCCTTGTTTCTTAATGGTGTTTTATCATGGAGCTGATGGCACGGCAGCCCAATCTGATCAGCTCACATCTGCTGGAAATATCATGAGAAGCAATCTATCCCATGTTTGCATTTATGCAGAAGTATTACTCTGTATGAAAATGTGAGATTGACAATTTTGGGATCATGTTAAAGGATTGTTGAGAGTCTCTCCATGTTGTATTTTGCCCATACTTGCTGAATAATTGTGGGAAAGCCAGATGGCTGAACTTCACACTGTCCCTACAACATCTTGTCACTAAAGTGTCTTGTCACATGCGTATTGTTAGGCGGAATGTGCACATTTACACCTTTCTGGCCCAAGTCCATAAAGGTTGATGGTGGAAATCCTAACTTTGGGTGGTGGAGTTTGGGATGCACATTTCTACCATATTGTTATGAATGTGGGCTCTGTATGCTTGCTATACATAAACCACACTGTTAAAAGAAGGCATTATACACAGAGAGATTTATTTCTCGCATTTCTATCCCATCTTTCTCAACCCCTGAAGGGGGACTCAGGACGGCTGTGTTGTTCTTCTCTTTCTCCTCTTTGCCAGTGAGGTCAAGGTGACTTGAATGAAACTCCCCACTTGAGTTTACAGTTGTCCAACATCTGAATCTGGTGTCCCCACAACCCAGCAGTCACTTTAGCAATGAAGTAGGAGTAACTTGTCACTTATAAAAAAGATTACAAAGGAAGAGGGAAATAGAGGGACTTGAAGAAAGGTGGGGAGAGGGCATTTCCCTCTTCTAGTGAAACGCTAATGATCTTTCTGAATTTTCATACATCCCCATTGTATTTAGTCTTAAATTAAAGTAAATTAAATAGGTATGGTTCTTTGCCCTGCAGAGATCGTTGTGAAATTTGACACATGGCTATTTTCATGTTTCTAAAATGTGTTCTCAAATGTTATCTCTTGATTGTTCAAATACCCCTTTGGAACAGAATATTCTGAGGAATAAAAAGACCGCATGATATGACAGCATAGTGTTAATTGGAGAACCATCTGCTTTGGGTTTTGTTGCTCATGATCTCATTGGTCAACTTAAATTGGCATTTTGTGTACACATGCAGAAAGGGTGTGTGTTTGATAGCTTTGTGATTCAGCAAAGGTACTTGCGTGGTGCTTAATGTTTCTTAGAACTGATTTAATAACTGATTTTATCACAGTTAACTGGAAGTTGAATGTCAATGAGATATTAGACCATAATTTCAGAAATGTACAAAGTAATACATTATCCTGTGATTGACTAAATCAATATATTTATCAGGATTCTGGAATGGCTTTCACAAGAGAAAAATTTATAAGTGCCTTGGTACTGATCAGAAGAAAGGCATTTAAATAAAGCAGTGTTCTGTTTTACACTAGCAAGTAAATTTTTTAAACTATGGTTTTAAAAAAATACAAAGCTTGAAATTCCCATTAGCGTTACTATTGTTGAATTGTAATGAATTTTCCTTGACACCAGTCTAATGCTAATGCTATTATATGCTTTCATAATTATATTTGGGTTAAAAGTAATACATTTCAGGTTTGAAATCTTTAAATTAACTGGGATACAGGCTATATTTTTATGAGCCAAACTTGGGTTTACAGTTACATGTCGAGGTAGGATCAATATTAAAAAGGTAATTTGCAATATCATAGCAGTGGCGTATAAAGGCACTATGGATAGGATTCAATGCATGGATCACATATACCCCATTTTTGTTGGAAATCAATTAACCTGACCTATTAAAATTACTGCCATTTTCTAAGTCAACTGCCAGTGAATAAAATTAGAGCCCTATTTTCATATTATTGTTGAGTTATAGAACTCACTGGGTTGCTAGACTAAAATGGTAGAACCCTACTAATTCAAAATATTTGAAGGGAGGAAAGTTAAGCATTTGACAGATAATGCATATGGAAAGATTTGTTCATGTGAATATATGTATATTTATGCCCTGTTGATTTATTTGTCAGAAAAACAGTACCGATTGACTTGAAATATTACAAATGGGGGGAAAGAGATGTTATTGTGTTGTTGAGAAAAGTGTAACCTATTGGCAGCATATAGTCCCAGGGCCCTTTTTGAGGTTCCCAGTACTACATCCTCCAAAATGTTTTTAGTTTAGTTTTTTTTTATTTTGTAAAATCATCTAGTTGACCCTGTAGATGCAGGTTTTGCCCCATTGTTGCAGTTGGTCTCCATATCTCCATGAAGGCTCGCACCCCAAATCCAGCCCACCATGTCATTTTATGTGGCCCACAAGGTTTTCAATGCCAGGGCAATATAGTTACATTTATCGTAGTTACATTTATACAGCCTTACAATTACAACTGCTCCCTTGAAGCAACCATAAAGCTGATGTGGCCCTCGGTGAAAATGAGCTTGTCACCCCTGCCCTAGGGGATTGAGGGATATTTTGAGCCAAAGAGGTTTTATATATCTTTCCCCAGTGAACAGTGTAGGTGTGGGTGCAGGAAGGTCCTCCAAAGCAGTAAGGTCCATGGCAGCGCCCCCCCCCCCCAATCCTTGGTAGACCCCTTGCAGGTGCAATGTCCTGATAGTGAGCACAAGCATACATTTTATGTTCAATCTTCTAACACCTTTGATCTTTTCCTTTCTCCTAGGTGTGCCTTGGATACAGTCTCTCGCCCATTGATTGGCAGACGTATTTAGTCTGGAAGGAAAACATCTATCAAATGGACAGTATGTCTATTACCAACACACCAACAAGTAATGATGCTTGTCTGAGCATTGTTCACAGTTTGATGTGCCATCGACAAGGAGGAGAAAGCGAAACATTTGCAAAGCGAGCCATTGAAAGTTTGGTAAAAAAACTTAAGGAGAAAAAAGATGAATTGGATTCTTTGATTACTGCTATAACTACAAATGGTGCTCATCCTAGCAAATGTGTTACAATTCAAAGAACATTGGATGGAAGGCTTCAGGTCAGTAAAAGCACATGTGATGCCTTGATATTCTTCATCTGTGTAGAATAGCAGAAAGGATAGATCTGTATTGAAGGGAGAAGAATAGTGGCAGACGTAATTTGACAGTGAAGCAGTGGTAAGAAATATGGAGTTTATGGATATTGTTGGGTTCACTAACTTTGGGTACTCCAGGTTTTAGGACTCCAGCTCACAGAATTCCTGAGTTGGCCAAGCTGACTGGGTTTTCTGGAAAACCAAATGTTGAGGGCCACTGTCATAAAATGTGATATTTTCACATTCTAGTAATTTTACACATTTTAAAATGCACTGTCATAGGATATAAAACTTGGAGGTACTTTGTTGTCATTCTGGTAACCCCCCCCCCCCCCCATTTAATTTGAATTTTTCATGGATTTCAATCCTTAGGTGGCTGGTCGTAAAGGTTTTCCTCATGTAATTTACGCACGGCTATGGAGGTGGCCTGATCTTCACAAAAATGAGCTCAAACATGTCAAATACTGCCAGTATGCTTTTGATCTGAAATGTGACAGTGTTTGCGTAAATCCATATCATTATGAGCGTGTTGTATCACCTGGCATTGGTAAGTATATTTCTGATATTATATAGGTCTGGGGTGGCAATTGATATCCCTCCAGATGTTCAAGTGCCAGCATTCTTTACTATTGACTGTTCTAGGTGGAGGTGCTGAGAGTTACAGTCCAACAACACCTGGAGAAAAACACAATTCAGTCCTCTGGTAGTCATCATAGGGTTTATGGCCACTTGCTTGTCCCAACTAGAGTAGGTGGAATTTATGTCAATGTTAGCTTAACATTCAGTGGTTGGTTTAGTAAATTTGGTTTGTTTAGAACTACTGGCTGGATGTAGGCCATAGTTGGAGCATTAGGTTGTGTTTAATAACACAGATTCTCTATTCAGTGACTTGTGAGATGTTTCATATTTGTGGCTTGAGGGGGATCCTTTCAGAGCCATGTTATTTTAGGCCAGAGAGCCTGCAAGTTTAGCATGTTAGCTGGTGTTTAGCAGGTATCCCTATGTTTCTTGTTCAGAAGGAAGCAAAAAGAATGTTTTGATTGGCAGTACAAGGTTGGAGCAGTTGGGAAGCATTAGTCCTCTTCCAGAAACCTTTGAAGACTGCACCCACATTGCCCCCAAATGTTATGTAGGCGCAATGGGGGTATTCTTCAAGTTTTTGAACTTTCCGGGAGGAGAGGAGGAGGAAAGTATTTATTTAATATATGTTTTTACTCCTGACGCTTAGGGGGGCTGTCAAATGTGATAGAAATGCACTTCATACTCCCAGATGCCATTTTGGGATATTGTGGAGCAAAAAAGAAATATATCCCCTTCCCCCACCAAGTTTTGAAGTTAAGAAAAAAGGAGTAAGGGGATGTGATGCCTGTTAGTATTCGCAGTCCAGGAGCTACATTAGAAGAGAAGGAAAGGATGCATGAACCTGTTAAATGTGACCTAGTTTTGGAGAACCTTGTGTTGCTATTGAAATGATGTGTAACATTCATCTCAGGAGAAATCTGGGAGTATTAATAATTGATAAATATACAAACCCTTCGGCTTCCTAATTACTCTCACTATCAGTTCTCTTTAATACCATTCTCACAAATACAGGAATTAGTCATCTCACTTTATTTCTTAAGATTCAGTTCACTTGTGATGGGAATCTGCTTGGAAGTGGGCAGTCCTGTCATCGCAGAACACTCTTCTAAATTAATGTTTCTTAAGCTATCTCATGCGTCAGAGAAGCCCCCCCCCCCCCCCAATGCGCTAGGCATAGTGGTTCTCAACTTGTGGGTCCCTGGGTATTTCGCTTTACAACTCCCAGAAATCCCAGCCAGTTTACCAGCTGTTAGGATTTCTGGAAGGCCAAAACACCTGGGAACTTACAGTTTGAGAACCACTGTGCTAGGGGCTGATACCACATTCATACTATAGTATCACATTTGGTTAATTTCAGTCCAAGAACAGCAAGCATTTTATTCTGGCCCAGCAGAAAAAATGACATGGGACCCAGGTTCTGTTTAGTGGCTCAAGATACACAGAACAGCGTAGCACCTTTTAAATGATATATTTGCGAAGAGTTACATCATCTTTACATCATCTACCTTTTAAATTGAATTTATATCCAGTTTTTCTTCTGAGATGGGATTTAAGGCAGTTTATAATATTTTTTACAAGTTAAAATCATTTACAAAGTAAAAAAGAATTAAAGATATTATTGAACATTGCTTAAAACACTTAAACATTAAACGGAATTTCAATAAAATACAACATGAGAAGCATGTAGGAGACACACTATTGAGTATCCACTCTGAAAACAGGAGTGATGGTCCCATTAGACTGATGTCTGAAATGTTGTTCTGTGCAGAATCTAATTTGACAACTTGAAGATGCACAGTTAAAAATACTAAACTTGACATTACTGGTATTTTAATTAGTCTAATAATTTATCTTTTTTCTCTTTAAAGATCTTTCAGGATTGACTCTGCAAAGTTCTGGTAAGCTATGCATGAAGCTCTATAAAATAATTTTCACTTTTTAAATAAATAGTTTCTATAATGGTGAATTGCTTTTAAAATTTAAAGCACCTAGAAATAATTCCTAGGAAAACTATACTTCATCTTCTAGCAAGAAAAGCATGCACAGGAATCAATGCTTTTACATGGCCATGAGAAAGTGCTCATTTTTATCTCTGTGAGTTTTTTAGATTAAAAAGCCATGAAGATAAAAATAGTTTTGCCATTTTTCAAGTGTTCATTTACTGTTTACTCATTTTAAATTGATGACCATTTTGTGTTGCTGGTTTTAAAACATTCATTTGAAGTTTTAACACTCTTTTTAAAACAAATTATGTGAAGGTGTGAAGCCAAGCTTTTTTAAAGAATTGTCGTAGTCCCGCCCCCCGCTCAAATTGGAATTAAAAAGGATTACTTTGGATAGGAGTAGTTTCTCTTATGTCAGCCATTTGTTATAAATGGTACTCCTGTCTATGCAAGGTGCTGGCTCTGGTTCTATATCTGTAGCATCATTTTCGTGTGTAGTTGACATACTATAATCTACATGTCAACTCTGTTTCTATCACTGTATCATTTGTACATCTAAGGCGGTATCATTTGATATAATAATAATGATAATAATAAATATATATTTATTTATTTTAAACCCACCCTCTCTCCCCAAAGGGACTCAAGAATATCTTGCAGAATTGTTGCTAGTTCACTTTGGAGTATGTACACATTAGCCTTCATTTGTTGTTGTTGAGCTTTATTCTCCAAAATAGTTCAGACCTCCATAGGATCTAGTTGGCATAGATGTAGGATGATGTAGGATAATGTTTGTAGGATCAGCTTGGACCAAGGAAAGGGATCTGATGGGTGCCACTGGTGAAAACTGGAAAAAATTTATAATTTATAATCACTTTTTTTACTCTCCCTTTTGGTGCATAGTAGTCTATATATTGGATTATAAATGGTATTTGAAGCAATGGGTGCAAATTCATCTGTCTATCTGTCTGGTAGCTCTTTGTAGTCTGAATGATATCACGGACTGAAGAAGTGCCAGGTGAAGCTTCTCTACCTAGTGCTTTTGAGTCCCCTTTGTGGAGAGAAAAAGCAGAATATAACTAAACATCATAATAACAACCACCATCATGGGCTTTCCTTCAGTTCTCTCACCTCACTCCTCATTCAGGGAAAAGGGAGGAAGAGCAAACTGTTCTTAGTATTTCCAAGAGCCAGCTGTGCCTGGATCTAGGGAACATGGGATAGAATTTATCATTTCTACTGACAAAGCAGAGATAATATAGACATTCTTTTCCCAGCTGGTTGGGAGGGTCTGAATCTAGGGAAAGGTTTTGTTGGAAGCCTTCTGAACCAAAAGCTTCTGTCCTTGATGCTGCATATCTGCCCGACCTTATTTTGAATATTTCTTGAGGCAATTTCCATGTAAGGTGCATTCTTCTAGTTAGAAATTTGCCACCATAATTAATCCTTGATTTTTGTTCCTAAAACACCAGGTGGTTATTATTCCCTTTTCTTTGGAGGGCTCAGAATAAGGCAGTTATTAGTGTCTTAATAATGATACCTCTAATTTACAACTTATTTTTATCACAGCACCTTCAAGCATGTTGGTGAAAGATGAGTATGTTCATGAATTTGAAGCGCAGCCATCACTCTCAACTGCTGAAGCCCATTCGGTTCAGACTATCCAGCATCCACCAAGTAACAGGGCATCTACTGAAACTTACAGCACCCCAGCCATGTTGGCTCCTTCTGAGTCTAATACTACCAGCACTACTAACTTTCCCAACATTCCTGTTGCTTCTACAAGTAAGACAACTGTGACTCTTTGAAATATTTCAGGTTCTTTAAAACTTAACAAAATGAACAGCTATTGCAAACTGTTGTTACTGTAAATGTCATATTTTAATTATTTAAGGAATTTGTATCTCCTTCTTCAACTAGTTAAGACTCCCAGTATGATTTACAAGCATTAATGATAGGATTGGCCTTATTTTTAGGTTTATAATATAAAAGAAATGACATAAAATGAAATGGGTTGGGGAAAAGAAAAGCTGGGCATAACTTCTTGGTAGACTGTGTGCACGTGGTCTTTCTGGGCAAGCAATAGCAAAGCTGACTCTCTTCTGGTTGATGAAGGGAAGAAATCAGTCTCCCTTTGCCATGATGTTCTTCCTAAAAGGTGGATTGTATACAGACTCCCAGTGGCTATTGATTCTTTGATGGTGGATGTAGTTAGTAATTATTGTAAAGTAGTGATGTGGTTAAGCCACAAAGTACTGGCAGTAAGGTGGGGGACTACATAATTTTGGTCACTTCAGCTGTCAGCTTGGTATTTAAATACATTCCTTAATTTTATTCCAGTGTTAATTAGTACTCTGAAATTATATGGTGTTCATTTCTTAAATAGGCCTCAAGATGAGTTGTAAGTAGTTGGTGAACGTTTTTGGCATTTTATTTCTGGGTTTGTGCAAGTGTTTTGATTGTGAAAGACATCTGAAGAGATTTAAATTTAAAAATTTCAAAGTAGTCAGGTGATGGCAACAGGTTTATGTCTCCAGAGTTCATACAAATAATGGAATTTAATATGAACTGTACACTTTGACATCCAGATTATGTCTGCTCCCATTTTCAAAGTCAGTGTTATTTCTTACATTAGTAGCAGGGACTTAAAGCCATATTGCATTGTCTGCAGTAAGTGTAGTAGTTAAAACACGTGAATGATGTGTTCAAAGCTTATATGTGGGACTTTATTCATTTGCAGTACTCTTAGTTGATTGCTCCTCTTATGTGTAGGTTGGTCATGGCATCTTCCACCAAGGGTAATTTATTTTCAGAGTTTCAGACTCTTGTCAGAGCATTCACCACAACATCAAGAAAACAAGCATGTTCCTTTCCAAGTAGAACTAAAAGTAGACTGCCAAGCAATTGTATCCTTGTCCAGGTAGATCATAGAAAGAGGTAGCAAACAAGAGCCACTTCATTATTTAGGATGCCAAATTAAGCAGCTTAAGAAAAAGAATAGGAAGCTCTTTTGGTAATCCTTGAAATTCATATGATTTAATCTTTAATCTTCTGTTACACCTAATTGGTGGACTGGAATTCTGGTTTTGGGGTCTTTGGGATTTAGGCAAGGACATTCTATGTGATTTGTTTTTCCAACGTAACAGGTTGTAAGTGTACAGTTCAGTCTTATTGCTGAGTTTTTTTTTTTTGCATTGAAGCAGTTATTTGGCTCTTATTATCAGTGTGATGTAGTGGTTTGAATGTTGGTCTATGACTCTGGAGACCAAAGCCTTGCTCACGCACTGAGTAACCCTGAGCAAGTTGTACTCTGAACAAATCTTGCCAAGAAGACCTTGTGATAAATTTGATTTAGAACTGCCCTAAGATAGAAGTGATTTGAAAGCTCACAGCAACCTGACTGTAGCAAAATCATAGCAATAGCCTTTCAAAACTTCCACATGCAGAAGAGTAGCAGTGGTGTGTCACTCTTCTAACAAAGTGTTCATTCAGGGTCTTTTTTAAAGCATAGATGACATCTTTTGCATTTTGCCAGGTCAACCCACCAGTATGTTGCCAGGTAGCCACACTGATGGACTCTTACAGATTGCTTCAGGACCTCAGCCGGGAACACAGCAGAACGGCTTTGCAGCTCAGCCAGCTACTTACCACCACAGTAAGTACACAATTTCAGTCTTCAATGCATTGTCACCATCTTCATTGCCATCATCATCCCCCTCCCCAGCTTTTTCCAGTCTGGCAGTCAAGACAGCTTACAAAGGGAGACAGCTAAAAGAATCACAGCATGTACACCTTAAAAATACAATCAAACCAAAAATAGAACAAGAAGTCATTCAAAGAAAAACACAAACAGTTCAGGATTTGTCAAAGGCCATCATAATTTGCGGTGTGAAGGGTTTTAGGTAGAAGATGGAGCAAACTCATTTTCTACTGTTGCAGAGGGTAAGACTCAAGATAGTGTATGGCAAAATATTAAAAGAGTTTTTAGGTGGTAAGATCTTCCAGGTGGAATTCAGGCTATAACCGTGGACTCCTGCTTTGCTATACTCCAGAGAATCTTCCCGGATCTATATTTGTATGATTCTGATTTTGTGGCAGCATAAAAGAAACAAAGGAGCCCCCGGTGGCGCAGTGGGGTAAATCACTGAGCTGTTGAGCTTGTTGATCAAAAGGTCGCAGGTTCGAATCCGGGGAGCGGCGGGAGCTTCGACTGTCAGCCCCAGCTTCTGCCAACATAGCAGTTCGAAAACATGCAAATCTGAGTAGATCAATAGGTACCGCTCCGGCGGGAAGGTAATGGCGCTCCATGCAGTCATGCTGGCCACATGACCTTGGAGGTGTCTACGGACAATGCTGGCTCCTCGGCTTAGAAATGGAGATGAGCACCACACCCCAGAGTTGGACACGACTGGACTTCATGTCAGGATACAACCTTTACCTTTACCTATAAAAGAAACAAACAGCAAGCTAAAATAAAATAGTGCAGTCTTAAAACTTGGAAAATGTGTATCACTTTACATAAAAGAAATTGACATAAATAGTATTAAGGACTTTTAAAATTACAAAATAAGTGTCATTTTAGATGACACACAGTAGATTGTCTTCCAGGAGTTGTACTACTATAGTCTATTGAATATATGATGGAAAACCAGGACCTAATTCTTCTGTGCCCTGATTTTTTCCTTAATTCTAATGTACACGTATAATCACCGAATTTCCAATAGCGTTAGACAGAAGATCCCAGGTTCTTAGGTTATGATAGCCAATAGTCAGATATCCTTTATGTATAACTGGAATTATACTTCCTCAGTTTCTCCTAACATTTATTTGTCAAACCTTATACCTCAGCTGCTGCACCCATATGGTTTGGTGGTATTGGATTGCTGTGAGTTTTTCAGACTGTATGGCCATGTTCCAATAGCATTATCTCCTGACGCTACTGGAACATGGCCATACAGCCCGAAAAGCTTGCAGCAACCCAGTGATTCCAGCCACGAAAGCCTTGACAATACTTTGGTGATACTGTCACCTTACATTTCATTCAGCTTAGGACAATAGCAAAGGTAGAGCAGATTTATCTCTCTTGCAAAATGGGTCAGCTGAAGGTCTCTCCTGAGAAGGTTAGGTGTTATTCCTAGCGGGAGTTCTATGTTCTTAGAAGTACACATGTGGCTTAGCATGCTCTGACAAAGTATAGCTGAATCCCTGCAATAATTGAGCCAAGATTATCACCTGTACTGGTGCTGATATTCAAATAGTTCTCCAGAGGATGATCGACTACAACTCTTAGCAACCCAAGCATAGGTCATGGGGAGGAATGCAGGGCAATGCAGTTCAGCCACATGATACTTCTGTAGCAGGCCTGCACAACTTGTGGCCCTCCAGATGTTTGGACCTCCAACTCCCCGAAGTCCCCAGTCAATTTTTGTTCAGTGGCCAAAAATTCAGGGAGCTGATGTCTAAAACACCTGGAACCGCAAGTTGTGCAGGCCTGGTTTGTATAGTAATTTCGTTTTCAGTTCACTAGGTATAATAAGGAGCAAAGGAACTCAAGGGGAAGGGTTGGGCATCTGTGAAGGATTCAGGGGCAGCGGTTTGTCTCCAGAGACCATACAAACAACCAAAACTTTCAAAAAGAACTAAAGATACAAATTAGAAGAAACTACATATCCAGTTCTGGTTTTGAAAACCAGATAGTTTCAGCTTTATAGGGTGTGGGGAGAGGGCTTTGTGACCAGTTTAAAATGTGAATTGCTGCTCTTCAAGATTGCCAAGAGAGAAAATTACACCTTTTTGCCACAAAACAAAAGGCCAGAAGGTGGAATTGGAGGCTACACAAACAGCTTGAGAGACACATATTCAAGCAGTATCCAATTCTCTTTTGTAGTAGTTAGATGTATCAGGGGAGAATACATGTTGCCAATCCCTGTCTGGTTGTTGTCTCACAGCATTCTGCCACAGCCCATTGCGTTTGGTGTGTCTCAAATAACAGCTCTGTTCTGTCTGGTATGATTATTTATGTTTGTACGCTGGGTATCTAAATTTGTTTCCCAATTCCTTCGACATTTCACATTTTATATTTCACCAGTTGTAGAATGAAGATGAAAACTACATTAATTCCTTCACTGGGATAGTATTAAAGCTGGTGTAAGTGGGTTATCTTCCTGATGCAGTATCCATCTCTGGATGATACGTGTCATCATACTGCTTAAAAAATCTGTTATTATATATCTTGGAAACAACAAAGAATCTTCTGCTGTCTTAAAGACGAACAGAATTTCTTTGGTGTATGCTTTGTGGATTCCTTCCCATCATCAGATGTACTGAGTGTAGTTCCAGTGATGCACATGCTGGGATTGCGGTTAGGGAGATGGAAAAATAAAAGATCCCAGCAAGTGATGATCTTAACAGTGGCTATTTGACAGTTGTTAGGAGGTAATAAGGGCATCCAGCATGAATGGCAAAATAGCTTGTGTTTGATGATTAAAAGTCATTGTTCAATCCGCATTGAGGACAATGATAGTGGGTGGGATAAATAGGAGTTCTGGGCCAACAAAAATGCAGTTAAAGATAGTGCCATAAAAAGTCTTTGACTCTGTTTTGACTTAATAAGGACAGTGGCTTTTAATCTCACTATGTATTTTACTGTATTTTCAATGCCTTTAGCTCTCCTATTTTATTTTCCACCTACTAAGTTTGAATAGAGACAAAAAGCTTTTTATCTTACTGTGTATTAGTCATGGGCCCAGTTATTGTTTCATCCGTTGAATTTGTGTTTTCATACTATTTTGTTCATTCAAAAGGCACAAAATGGTACACCCCCCTCCGTTACGGAAATATCAGTGAAACGAAAGAAAAGTGGGAATGGTTACCATTCGGTCAGCTGATTTTTGGCACTTGGCTAAAGGCCCTGGCAGGTGCTGGTACTTTGGGTCTGATCACCACACATGCACTCTCCTTGGAAAGAGTGTGTGTGTGTGACAAGCCAGCTCAAAGCGCCCATGCCTGCCATGACCTACAGCCAAGTGCTGAGTGCCTCTTACTTGGCGCTCGGCATTTGGCTGCAGGCCCTCCAAGGAGAGAGTGTGTGTGGTGAACAGGCCTAAAGCACCAGCACCTACCAGGGCCTGCAGCCAAGTGCTGAGAGCTGAGTAAGACGCGCTCAGCGCTCGGCTGAAGACCCTGGCAGGTGTGGGCACTTTGGGCCGGCTCACCACACACGCACTCTCTTTCCAAAGAAGAGTGCTAGCCCTAAAACTGAATGGAAGGGGAGCATGGGAAGCCCACCCTTTGTCGCCAATGGACTGAAAATATTTTTTTTCAGGCCTTGGAAGAAAAAACGTATTCTGAAAGGCACCTGTTTTCAGGAGAGACGCGAAAAAAAGTAAATGGGGCCTTTCGAATGAAACAAACAAAAACGGAGTGTGATTCTGTTCAAATGCACAAGACTATTTTGTGTGTCATTTAGCTCATCTGAGTCAAATTGTCTTATAATGCTATCCAAATTGTGTCGGGTTTTTTTTACCACTGTACCATATATGTAATTGAGGGAGCAGTGAGGCTTTTGTTGCAGAAAATAAGAATACAATTCTGCAAAAATATTTATTGTCTACCTAGTAAACTTATGACTGTGTTGTCATGTAATCACTGAGTGTCTGGATCTGTTTGGCCACTGACTTTGGGGCTTTATTTGAGGTGAAGAAGATCTATTGGGGTGAAGGTTTCAATAATTCTGATTCTTTTAATGAATAACTGTGCTGTGTGATTACAGTATTTTCCCCAAAGTTATGAGATTGTAAGGCAGGGATTGGCAGCATGCGATCTTCCAGATATTATTGAACTGCAATTCGGAAAAATACCTTACTGATTGTTAGCTGGGGCTAGTGAGGAATTGCAGTCTAACAAGATGAAAAAGACCATACAGTATCCATTCCTGTTGAAAAAAGTTTGAGGATGTAAATGATACAAGATATTGAGTAGTATTCTGAGGATTTAGCCTTACATATTAAATGATTTCACGGAAGAATTCAAATTTTAAAAATCCAAGAAGGAGCATGGTTACCTGCAGCCTTTAGAGCAAGCGTTTACAAACTTTCTCCATTCCCACAGTTTCAGTCTAAATTAAGAATTATTTCTGGATTACCCAGATCACTCATCCAATACATCAGGAGGTCTGACAGGAAACAATAATAATTGATTTTTTTGGTGTAATTTCTGATTTTGTAATCTAGCCAAACCATAATTGTGGAAAACTCCTTTTACTCTAGTATGTGCATTAGAAATGTTACCCAAAGTGAAGATGACAACCACAGTGGTCTCATCAGCTCCATAGTCTTCCTCAAAATATTCCTCTTGACAAATGTCCTCCACTATGAAAGCATAATAAAATCCATCCTGTGGTTTGATGAGTAGCACTGTTTGAAATACTGAAGGTTTTGTGTAGTTTATCTAGGCGGCCTATTGTGTTGCTTTGAGAGGTGATATACTTTTGTATCAGGCCTAGCGAATGAAGACCTTTCTTGGCTCAAATATCCCCTACCCAAAATCTTTGGGATTACAGATGTTTTGGATTTTTTTTCCAGATTTTTAAATATTTCCATATGCATAATCTTGGAGATAGGATAGAATGTCTAAACACAAAATTCATTTATTTTTCATATACTGCTTATATATATATAGCCTGGAGGCAATTTAATGCACAAGCTTTTTAATAATGTGCATGAAACAAAGTTTGTGTACACTGAACCATCAGAAAGCTAAAAGTACCCAATTTTGGAGCATTTCAGATTTCCAGGCAAGGGATACAAAACCTATAATTCCATCAAACTCAACAATAGCATAGTAATATAAAGCAGAAAAATACAGAAAAATATGTATAAAGCAGAAAAATACAGATAATATAAAGCAGAAAAATACCGAGCTCCAGAACTAAGCACTACAAGTTATATATGAAAAGGACAACTTAAGCCAAAGGACCCAGACCAGCTAAAGCCTATAGGAAATGAAATATAGCTTACTATCAATCAGTAGTCAGGGTAATTTCATTTTAAACAATAGTTTGAATCTAAATGTAGAAATCCATGATGAACCAAAGTACTCACAAACATATTACAGTCCATTCCTTACTTGTGCGGGCCAACTATACAGAGTCCACAAGGCATGTATCATTGTCAAAATATGATGATGTGCATGCTATAATGAAAAGCTGCTACTGCTCCTGGAAATATGAAGCAATTTTAATGATAATATCCTAAGATTATGGATGGAATTTTCCACATTCCAAAGATGCATCCCTTTGTGAGTCGTATACTACAGCTGTTCCATATGTAGGAGTGCTTAGTTCTTGTATTTGGTGTTATTTTGCTTTGTATTATTATGAAGCTTGTATTACTTTATACTGAATTATACGGTTGGTTACCAGTTATGTTTTTCTGTCTTGAGGCTTCAGTTATTCCGTGTTCTGTTTTTCATAGTATTTAGTACCATACTGACCTTTTTGTTCGATTGTTCGAATCCCACCCACATGTCCTAGTTGGTGTTTTGCTTCCCAGTAACAATAGAGGAAAATAAAGCAGCAATATAGGATAGGGGCCAAGTTGATGAGAAGAAGGGGGAAAGCTCACCTGTTCTGCAAAATGTCCCAATTGCTCTGTATGCTGTTTAAAGGGCATAAATAGATGAAGGCCTTCCTTTTAGATGAGCACAGAGCTGGCTTATCAGTCTAAGAGGAGGCTCATATTCCAAGGTCAGTGTCTTACAGCCAGAAAAGCACTTGCAATGGGTCAGATCTGAGAGGGTTAAAAATAAGGATTCTTGCTCACCTGCAAGACATATTGGGTGCTTCATTCCCACTAAAGTCAATAGTGTTTCTTGCATTTAGGGGGGCTTGCTTTTTCCCCTTTTTAGCAGGTGAGGAATATGCTACAAGAAGAAGTTGATCAGATCTTTCTTCTTTATTTTTTTAAAGATAGTACAACAACTTGGACTGGTAGTCGAACTGCAGCTTACACACCTACCATCCCTCACCATCAGAACGGACATCTTCAGCATCACCCACCTATGCCCCATCCTGGACATTACTGTGAGCATTTACATATTTCCTCATTGAATCATGCTTTTTGTGGGAAGAGGATGATTGTGGGATAGTAGGCAGTGTGGTATAGTGGACAGAACAGCTTTGAAGCTCTCTTACTGGTTGTAGGCCAGTTGCTCTCTCTCTTCTGGAAACATTCTCCGTGGCAGGAAATTATATAGCTTCATGAATCACTTTGAGCTCTCGCAAGAAAGTGTGGAGTATAATATAATTAAACCAAAAAACTATCTCGTGCTTGTATAAGCTGAGGTAGGAGAGTCCATATTACTTCTCTGCTAAGAGAGTTGCAGAGTCCTGCATAGAAACAGGTTTTTAAGCAGTGGATAGCATGTTCCACAAGCAGTTCTTTAATGTATTGGCATTCTTTATACTTAGTTCGATTTTAACTTTTGTGCATGGCACACACTTTTAGAGTATTAATTTTTGGAATGTTGCTCATGTACAGTAACGAATTGTCGTGCAACAATTCAGATTAGTTCTTAGTGGCAGTTCAATTTTAGAATATGCTAGAAGTTGTGAGGACAGTGGATAAATATGGATTTGATTTTGTTTTCTTTTTTTAAAGGGCCAGTTCATAATGAGCTTGCATTCCAGCCTCCTATATCAAATCACCCTGGTAAGTCCTTATTCAGAGAAATAATTCTTGTTCCTATATATTATCAGCATTTCAAACTGCTCTATTTAGGGCCCATCTTAAAATTTAAAATTCAGTTACTTATTTGTGGTTGTTCATTCGTTCAGTCGTCTCCGACTCTTCGTGACCTCATGGACCAGCCCACGCCAGAGCTCCCTGTCGGCCGTTACCACCCCCAGCTCCTTCAAGGTCAGTCCAGTCACTTCAAGGATGCCATCCATCCATCTTGCCCTTGGTCGGCCCCTCTTCCTTTTCCTTCCACTTTCCCCAGCATAATTGTCTTCTCTAGGCTTTCCTGTCTCCTCATGATGTGGCCAAAGTACTTCAACTTTGTCTCTAGTATCCTTTCCCTCCAATGAGCAGTCGGGCTTTATTTCCTGGAGGATGGCCTGGTTGGATCTTCTCGCAGTCCAAGGCACTCTAAGCACTTTCCTCCAACACCACAGCTCAAAAGCATCGATCTTCCTTCGCTCAGCCTTCCCTAAGGTCCAGCTCTCACATCCGTAGGTTGCTACAGGGAATACCATGGCTTTGACTAGGCGGGTCTTTGTTGCCAGTCTGATGTCTCTACTCTTCACTATTTTATCGAGACTGGACATTGCTCTCCTCCCAAGAAGTAAGCGTCTTCTGATTTCCTGGCTACAGTCTGCATGTGCAGTAATCTTTGCCCCTAGAAATACAAAGTCTGTCACGGCCTCCAAGGTTTCTCCCTCTATTTTCCAGTTGTCAATCATTCTTGTTGCCATAATCTTGGTTTTTTTGACGTTTAGCTGCAACCCGGCTTTTGCGCTTTCTTCTTTCACCTTGATTAGAAGGCTCCTCAGCTCCTCCTCGCTTTCGGCCATCAGGGTGGTGTCATCTGCATATCTGAGGTTGTTAATGTTTCTTCCAGCAATTTTCACCCCAGCCTTGCATTCATCAAGCCCCGCACATCGCATGATGTGTTCTGCATACAAGTTAAAAAGGTTGGGTGAGAGGATGCAGCCTTGCCGTACGCCTTTCCCAATCTTGAACCAGTCTGTTGTTCCGTGGTCAGTTCTGACTGTTGCTACTTGGTCCTTGTACAGATTCCTCAGGAGAGAGACAAGGTGGCTTGGATGCCCATCCCACTAAGAACTTGCCACAATTTATTATGATCCACACAGTCAAAGGCTTTAGAATAGTCAATGAAGCAGAAGTAGATGTTTTTCTGAAACTCCCTGCCTTTCTCCATTCTCCAGCGGATATTGGCAATCTGGTCTCTCGTTCCTCTGCCTTTTCTAAACCCAGCTTGAACATCTGGCAACTCTCGCTCCATGTATTGCTGGAGTCTTCCTTGCAGGATCTTGAGCATTACCTTACTGGCATGAGAAATAAGGGCCACTGTACGGAAGTTGGAGCAGTCTTTCGCATTTCCCTGTTTTGGTATGGGGATATAAGTTGATTTTTTCCAGTCTGATGGCCATTCTTGTGTTTTCCATATTTGCTGGCAAATGGCATGCATCACCTTGACAGCATCATCTTTTAAGATTTTAAACAGTTCAGCTGGGATCCCGTCGTCTCCTGCTGCCTTGTTGTTAGCAATGCTTCTTAAGGCCCATTCAACCTCACTCCTCAGGTTGTCTGGTTCTAATTCATTCACCACACCGTCAAAACTATCCTCAATATTATTATCCTTCCTATACAGATCTTCTGTATAGTCTCGCCACCTTCTCTTGATCTCTTCAGCTTCTGTTAGGTCCCTGCCATCTTTGTTTCTTATCATACCAATTTTTGCCTGAAATTTACCTCCAATGTTTCTAATTTTCTGGAAGAGGTCTCTTGTCCTTCCTATTCTGTTGTCTTCTTCCACTTCCATGCATTTGCTTATTTAAAAATAGTTCCTTATCTCTTCTGGCTAACCTCTGGAATTGCGCATTTAACTGGGCATATCTCCCCTTATCCCTGTTTCCTTTTGCTTTCCTCCTTTCTTGGGCTACTTCCAGTGTCTCAGCAGACAACCATTTTGCCTTCTTGGTTTTCTTTTTCTTTGGGACGTACTTTGTTGCCGCCTCCTGAACAATGTCGCGGACTTCTGTCCATAGTTCTTCTGGGACTCTGTTTACTAAATCTAGTCCTTCAAATCTGTTCTTCACTTCCACTGTATATTCGCTAGGAATGTTAGTGAGATATCTAACTGGTCTGTGTATTTTCCCTGATCTCTTTAGTTTTATTCTAAATTGAGCAATAAGAAGTTCGTGATCTGAGCTACAGTCAGCCCCAGGTCTTGTTTTCACCGACTGGATGGATGTCCGCCACCTTTGGCTGCAAAGGATGTAGTCAATCTGATTTCGGTGTTGACCATCTGGTGAGGTCGATGTATAAAGCCGTCTTTTAGGTTGTTGGAAGAGAGTATTCGTTATACACAGCGAGTTTTCCTGGCAAAATTCTATCAGCCTGCGTCCCGCTTCATTTTGTTCTCCCAGACCATGCTTGCCTGTGATCCCTGTTGTCATTTGACTTCCGACCTTGGCATTCCAGTCTCCTGTAATGAAAATAATGTCTCTTTTTGGTGTATTATCCAGTAGGTCCTGCAGATCCTCATAGAACTGATCTACTTCTGCTTCTTCAGCAGCTGTGGTTGGGGCATATATTTGGATCACTGTAATGTTGAAAGGCTTTCCTTGCACTCGAATTGAGATCATTCTGTCATTTTTTGGGTTGTATCCAAGCACCGCTTTAGCGAATTTCTTATTAATTATGAAGGCTACTCCATTTCTTCGATGTTCCTCTTGTCCGCAGTAGTAGATCTGGTGGTCATCTGATGTGACGTGGCCCATTCCAGTCCATTTCAGTTCGCTGACCCCCAGAATGTCTATCTTTAGTCTTGACATCTCACCAATAACAACATCCAATTTGCCCTGGCTCATAGATCTTACATTCCAGGTTCCTATGGTGTGTTGATCTTTAGAGCATCGGATTCGTCGTTCACCTCCAGTACCGTCGGCCGCTAGCCTTCCTTTCGGCTTTGAGCTAGCTGCGTCATCACATCTGGGGCTAGTTGAACTTATCCTCTGCTCCTCCCCAGTAGCATTTTGGCCATCTTCCGACCTGGGAGTCCCATCTTCCAATGGCATACCGACATATCTCTGGTTGTTCTGGTCCATTTAGTTTTCTTGGCAAGGATACTGGAGTGGTTTGCCATTGCCTTCCCCAGGGATCACGCTTGGTCTGACCTCTCTGCCACAACCGTCCCGTCTTGGGTGGCCCTTCACGGTTTCGCTCATGACATCATTGAGGTGCTCAAGCTCCAGCGCCCCGACAAGGCGGTGATCCTTTGCTGGAGACTTATTTGTGGACCATCTTTTAAAAAGTGTCTGATGTGTTTTTCAAAGAATTTGAAAAATAGTTCAGGTTGTGTTGTTACTGATTAAATCAAACCATTGGGAGCTCTCCATCTGGCCTGTACACTCTTGTATTTGTTGTTTCTACACAGCAGTTGGACTTTTAAAAATCAATGCCAGTAATGTCCCCCCCTTAAAAAAAAAATCTTTGCCCTGCGCACCCCCACCATATATCAATTTGGCTTTTGCAAAGCTTCCTTAGTGCTAATGGATGGGTCTGAAAGCCTCATTATTGTCATCTGGATGAGTGATGGTGTGTCATCTCTCAGTAGGGTGGGTAAACTTTCCCTCGTATCATTTCCCCATCCCCACATTGCACAGCAGTTAATTTGGAAGCTTCCATTGGTGGCAGTTTTTTCTTTCTAGTAGAGTGGGGAGGATAAAAGATATTTGGGACATGAAGGTGACATCAAAAGTAATGCCCTATATTCTTTCTCTGCTGCTTATTCCCGTGCTCTACATTAAGTTGTTCTTTATCTTCCATCTTAATCTTCAGCTCCAGAGTATTGGTGCTCAATTGCCTATTTTGAGATGGATGTGCAAGTTGGTGAAACATTCAAAGTTCCTTCAAGCTGTCCAATTGTTACTGTGGATGGATATGTGGACCCTTCAGGAGGGGACCGCTTTTGTCTTGGTCAGTTGTCCAATGTCCACAGAACAGAAGCCATTGAAAGAGCAAGGTATGTTTTCTGGGTCCTGGTTTTTATTTAGCTTTGGGTTATTGATGCGGTTGAATTTTCCAAGTCCGTATATGACCTGTACCTGTGTGAGCTTTAGAGACAGAACTGTCTTCAGCTACATCCAAACCCTAGTAATGCTGTGTTTTTTCCTCTTTGGGAGACAGTGCCAAACATGGTGCCACCGTTGAAAATATCCCTTCTTAAGCAATTGTAGATCTTAGCTGGTGAGTAAAGGCAACCAGCAGTAGACAGTCCCCACCAACTCAAAGGCTCTAAAAGTGCAAAAGACCCAGATGGATTGTATAAAGCTTGATAGGTTGATATGAGAAATAGTTCTCCTAATGAATGGGCTGTGCAAATGCTGAAGTGCCTCGTCTGTTAAACTTTGTGGAAACTGATGTCTGGGAGCAATACCAGAAGATTGTGTTTAGTAAAGAAAATACTTTATAATTGAGTTACATATTTTGGAGAGAGGAAAGATGGAATCTGCAACTACTGATAACGACCAGAGAGAAAGATGCTATATGGAGTGAAGTCAAGCCTTGAGAGTACCAGTTTGTAGGTGAAGCATAAGAGCAGACACTATAAAGAGAGAAAATACCAAGGAGTGCCATATGTCTCCTAGCCCCCTCACTTCCTGTGTGTTTTTATATCAAGCAGTTCAGAGGCAGATCTCTTCGTTTGCTCTGACACCAGCTTTCATTATCTCTGGATATATCTGTAATCTTCCATCTTCATTAGGGATCTTCTAAAGAACTTGGAAGCTTTTTGTTCACTTTTTAATATTTAAGTTGGTACCAAAATCTGAAGCTGTTGATCACACATTGTCTGTGAAATTGGCAAAGGAACTGGCATGAAATACACTCCTCTTAAGTGCAATTGTTGATTTGCTTTCCTGTTGAGCTTTCGTCCTAGATGTCATGATGACACATTCTATTAGGTGCTTTATTCAATTGTAAAGAGTTTACAAATACGAAGTAATGCCCCTTTCAAGGTGGGTGGGATGAAGGGTTTCTCAGTACTAGCACACATAAATGTTGAGCTTGCACTGTTTCTGAGGATTCTTAGCTGCCCTGGATTTGTCTTAAAAACTATTCACTGTAGCTTTTTGCAGTTTGTGCCCCCCCCCCCCAATGACCTGTGTAAAAAGGTATAAGTAAAGGCTTCCCCTGACATTAAGTCTAGTTGTGTACGACTCTAGGGGGTGATGCTCATCTCCATTTCTAAGCTGAAGAGCCAGCATTGTCCGTAAACACCTCCTAGGTCATGTGGCTGGCATGACTGCATGGAATGTCATTACCTTTCTGCAGAAGAGGAACCTATTGATCTACTCACATTTGCATGTTTACAAACTGCTAGGTTGGCAGAAGCTGGAGCTAAAAGTGGGTGCTCATCCTGCTCTTCGGATTCAAACTGCCAACCTTTCTGTCAGCAAGTTCAGCAGCTCAGCGGTTTAACCTGCTGCATCAACAGGAACCTGTGTAACTAAGAGCATATAGAGATCTAACTCACCCATCACTTGGTTTTCCTTGTGCCAACTGCTATTTCTTGTCTTTTCCTCCCCAGGTTGCATATAGGCAAAGGTGTCCAGCTAGAATGTAAAGGCGAAGGTGACGTGTGGGTTCGGTGCCTCAGTGATCATGCAGTCTTTGTTCAGAGTTACTACTTAGATCGAGAGGCAGGACGTGCACCAGGTGATGCGGTTCACAAAATTTATCCAAGTGCATACATTAAGGTTTGTGTGAATTATTAATAAAGTAATTATGCTTGCATCCAACATCCCCCATCCTCAGTATTCATTGCAATTGCAGCAATTACCGTAGACTATTATGTGAGTGGCTTATCTGAAATTTCTATATACTAAAAACTTTTTTCTGGAGTTTTCTTTTGTCATTCGGTGAAACAATTATATTGTGTTCAGTACAGTAGCTAGTATTAGGTATGAATTTTTCTTCTCCTGGCACAGGTTACAGAAAGAATTGCAGCATATACCAGGATAGATAGATGAGAAATTATTTCCTTGGGGCATTTGGCTGAATTCACATGTCCTTTGCCATGGTTGGAAAGTTTTGATCAGTCTTGACCTGGAAAGATCAAAAGAAATTCTTTATATAATTTGTTACATATTCACAAACATTTATTTATTTATTTTCAGTATTTCTACTCTGTCCTTCAGGGACTTAGGACGACTTACACTTGGCAACAATTCGATGCCGCTATATATAACAGTTAAATAATACAACAACAAATTAAAACAATAAATAGAGAATTAATTAAAACAGTAAAAAAACACATGCCACTTAGACCTTCACTAAAGTGAAAGCATCTTTTTTACAAGCTTCTCTAAAAGATATTGCAGTCTTTCTCTGTCTTTTACTCATCTCTCTTCTCCATCTTGAGATTCCAGTATCCACTATAAGTGGGAACATTTGGCTGCATTATTTACAATCAGCAGCATCAGTGGGATGATGGGTTATACTTTATCAAACATGAGCCTTCACTTGTATATGCGGGCTTATAATGCATAATACATGCCAAATTCTGTCTGGACCCCTCCACTCTTTTACATATTGCTAATATACGGGTAAGAGATTTTTAGAGGTGTAGTTTAAGATTACATACCTGGGAGACAATCCCATTAAGCCTATGAAGTATATTGTTATGCATATGTTGAATTATGCTGTAATTTTTTAAAGTCGTGTAGATAAAGACTAGATTTTAGTGAGGTCTATCTTGTTCACCTACAGGCTTTGATGATATGTGGGGTTGAGTGTTGGGAGTAGCATCCACATCCTGTTTAGATTGGTTTCCAACCATTTGTCAGAATTCTCCTACACACAAATGGTTCTGTCTAATTTGGGCATTGAACAATCTGTGTCTTTTTCACAGAAGCCACTGTTACTATTCTGCCCATGCCCTCCTGTTTCTCAGGCTAAAAATGTGTATGCTTCTTGGTCAAATAATTAGACTTTTTTTGTTCAGACTAAATATTGGGAAATATATTAAAATTTCTCTATTTTGCATAATGCTGCAAATAGCTTGGCTTATAAGATTCAGAGACAAGATTTCTGTATGGGACTATTATGACATAGCTACACTCCCATTTCCTAAAGTCCACCTTAAGAGCCAGGTAGTCCATACTGAGTGAAGGAGATCTGTGGCACTGTGGTGAGCTAAAGGACAACATATCCAGTCCTTTTTCTGCCAATGAGCTCCAGGGCAAAAAACAGATGTCGGGATCCTATGGGATCCCATGGCTCATTGATGGAAGGGAGCTAGACATTAGTATTTTAAATGGCGTTACATATTGTTTTTATAGTTTTTAATTTTGTTTATATTTCTATTGTTGTGCTAATTTGTTTTATTAATTGATATGTGGTTATTTTCCATGTATATTATTTATTGTATTCATTTGTTTGCTGTAAGCTGCCCCAAGTCCCTCCGGAGAGAGGGGACAGGGTATAAATAAAGATGATGATTATTATTAGACACATAATACTTCAGAGCCCTGCTTGCCATTGCCTCGGGATTCCTTTAATTCCTTTAAAGCTCTTCCTTTAATTGGGACAGTTCTTCCTGCCTTTATGGTGGTTTTTTAGGGACATTTGCAGCTGTGTCAATGGTGTCATGATCATAAATGTGGATATGAAACAGTTACAGGGTCATACATCTGGTGTATTACATTATGAGTCTAATAGGATGGCAGCTCCTACTTTATAAAGGACTTGTAATCTTTTATTAAGAGTGACAGAGTGAGCTGCTTATAGTGTTCTTTCCTCCTGTGGGTGAGAACTTGTTCAAAAATGCAAAACGGAAATTTCCCACGTGGCAGTACTACAATAGCTGCCATGTACCCTACACAAACAATGAAATGGTGGCTGCAGGATAGAAGATGGCTCTGAAACCACATGTAATAATTCAAATGAAACAGTATTAGTAAAGGTTTTCCCTTGACATTAAGTCTAGTCGTGTCCAACCGGGGTGCTGCTCATCTCCATTTCTAAGCCGAAGAGCTGGCATTGTCCGTAGATGCCTCCAGGATCATTTGGCCGGCATGGCTGCATGGAATACTGTTACCTTCCTGCAGGAACACTACCTACAGATCTATTCAAATTTGCATGTTTTCGAACTGCTAGGTTGGCAGAAGCTGGGGCTAACAGTGGAAGTTCACCTTGCTTCCTGGATTCGAACTGCTGATCTTTCAGTAGGCAAGTTCAGCAGCTCAGCAGTTTAACCCACTACGCCACCTGGGGGGCCGAGACAATATAATAATAATAATAATAATAATAATAATAATAATAATACTGCTACCATCTCCCCAAGGAACTCGGTGCGGCTTACATGAGGCCAAGCCTACAGTACGTCAATAAACAAAGGCAATAACAAAACAATCAATACAAAACAGTTAAAATAAATGCCATAAACAAAAATAAACAATAACAGTAACAGACAAGCATTTAAAAAACCTATGGCCAGGCCAAATGTAATAATTTAAAATTTAAGAAATAATGCTGGGCATGAACAAGTTAGGATATAATTGGGATAGGTATATTTTATTTACCTTTGCACACAAGACTCTACATAATTTTATATATGTATGTATGTATGTTGTACTCGGAATAAACTCCTAGCAATTTAGTTATTCCTAGTTCCATTTGCATAGAAGATCCCATCCCAGGAGAAAGGCAGGACATACATTCAGTCAATCAGTAAAAAATAAGGAGGGCCCCTACTCTCATACTGGCACAGTTGCTCATAAATTCAGTTAAACAGATAGCATTTCAGGACCATTTCAGTCACCAAACAGTTGTTCCTCATTGCACTTACAACTACTGTGTAATTTTTAAATGGTTTATGCTTTTATTTCACAGTGTATACAATCAAGAACATCTAAGTCCTATATGTGATATTGATGTGGTTCCATTGTTTTTTCGTAGACTTTCATTTGCACGTTAAAAATCTACCATAATCATTGTTTCTTTTTAAGGTGTTTGATTTACGTCAGTGTCACCGTCAGATGCAACAGCAGGCTGCTACAGCACAGGCTGCAGCTGCTGCTCAAGCGGCCGCAGTAGCAGGAAACATCCCTGGGCCAGGATCTGTTGGGGGAATTGCTCCAGCTATCAGTAAGTGGCATAGTGCCTGTCCCTGCTTTTTTAAAAAGATCTATTTGGCAAGGAAAAAATAGCATTAAACACAATATTTTGTATATATTCATGAATAATGCATTGAGATCCAAGTAGGGTGACCTTTTGCAGCTGGTAATTTTGTCAGCGCCAATTGTTTTTAGGTGCAGGCCAAGGTCTTTAGGCACTGCACCTAGTGTGCCGATCACCACTGGGACCACCTTGACTGGCTTGTACCAGAGTCTTCTCAGTTCTATCTTTAAATCCTCATATTGTGTAAGCTTTTCCAGTTGCTTGTCATCAATTCTGCTGATACCTGGGATTGGAACATTGATGACCCCACGATTGTGGGGTTAGGAGTACTGTGCTCCAAAACTCTTTGTCAGTTTGTCAGTCTGAATTTGGAAGTCCCAGAGTAGTTTGACATGTTCATTTTGTGTAACTTTTTTCAGACTTGTGATCCCATCCGTTTTTTTTGTCGTATTTGGCTTATTATTATTATTATTATTATTATTATTATTATTATTATGCTATTATCCCTCTCCATATGGAGACTCAAAGCGGCTCACAACTAAAAGCATTGTAATATAACTTAAAATAGATAATATATATTAAAACATCATTAATCATCATTAAAAACATATAAAATCACAGCAGCTCCTGACAGTCTTAAAAACCTTCTTCTTTAAAAGTCTACCCGAATTTTAGGCTGCCACCGGAAGGAAAGTAGGGAGGGGGCCAATCTGGTTTTCATGGGCAGGGAGTTCCAGAATTGAGGGGCAGCCACCAAAAAGCTCCCCTCTCTCGTTCCCACCAGTTGATCTTGAGATAGAGTTGGGACTGAGAGAAGGGACTTTCCCGAAGATCTCAAGGCCTGGGCAAGTTCATACAAGGGGATGTGGTCGGCCAAATAAGGTTCCATCCAATATAAGAGTTATTAACATGTTGGTAAAATGTCACCTGATTTGGTTGGTGTGGTTCTAAAATCAGTGATTTTATTGAGTAAAGAAACCTGGAAACTGCCCCATATATCCATTTATAAACTGCCAGTTGAGCAGTATATAAATCTCTTCAGCAAATTAATGAATGAATGAAAAAGAATTTCAGTTATTAAATTTTTACCCATTGTCTGTTTAACTTACAGTTTCCAATAAAATATCCGAATACAATAATTTACTGAGCATATCAAGTTATACATAGTGTATTTATTTTGCAAAAACGCAAAGCAGTGTTGAAACTGTAATGTGTGCCAAAAAATCTTCAAGTATTACATATTCCCTCTTCTGCTTTTTAGGTGTGAAAAAGGAGGAAGCATTTTCCTCCTTGGTTCCAGAATTTCTGACACATCCCACCCCCAAGCACACTGTGGTTTACTAGTTCCTCATCTACTTTTCTTTCTTCTATTTGCTCACCAGTCCTATCTCTAATTGCATTGTTGGAGACAAAGCAAGGGCTTTAAACTTTAGTTTCTTCAGACCCAATGTTTCTTCAGACCCGTTTCACATTTGATTGCTAACTGATTTGTCAATTTAGGTACCCATCTACATGCTAGATAGCCATGAAAGTTTTTAGTGTTTGGACCAAGCCATCATATCTAATTTTAATCTAAGAGTTTGTTTTGCCCCTTTTCAACACAACTGGTCCTTGTAAAATTGTCAGCAATCTGGGTGTGAAAGCTTTTGCAAAATTCCTTTCCCATTAGAATTCAGAGGGTGCAGCCGTCCTTGGTAAATGCTTTGGATACTTCAAATCAGAGGCTGCAGGTCCATTGGAGCAGCTGCTGTTTTTCTGCGAATTGAATGTTGTAGTTTAAAAATAGCTCTACTGGGCAGAAACAGGGGTTGGAAGGATCTTGTTGAAATGAATTGTGAAGAATGGTGTGCTAGGAATTTTTTCTTGAACTATTCCAGGGATGCTAGACTCATTCATAAATTAGTATTCGGAAGTTAAAAAACAGGAACTGGAATTGTGCAGGCCTCCAACTGTTGCTAATTCCAGGGTCAAGCATTTTGCGCTGCCGCACTAAACAGGGCTCTTGGGAGTTGCATTCTCAGCAATATAGAATCATTGAGTTGGAAGGGACTCTGTGGGTCATCAGCTCTGACCCCGTTTAATTTACAATCTCCTACAACATCTTCAGCAGGTAGCTCTCCGGCCTCTTCTCAAAGATGTTTAGAGAAGGAGACCACATTTATTTCCAGCCATCTGATTCCATTGCCAAAGTACTCTTATTGTCAAGAGGTTCCTTCTGATGTAAACATGATCCTATCCTCTGGAGTAGGCACGGACAAACTTTTTTGTCTTGGGGCTGCATTGTGGGCCTGGCTGGGAGGGCTGGGCCAAAAGGAAGGGGGACCATGCACACTCTGGGTGGGGCAGGCCTGGGAGGGGGAGAGGATAGGGCCGGGGGGGGGCAGGGCAGGGCCTGGGTCATCCTCAGGTTGTCCTCCCAGCACAAGGATGGGACTGCTCGCTCTATCCTTATTCCAGGAGGAAGGTGGGACATTCCCCAATCCTCTCCCTGGTCCTCCTTCCCGGATTCTTAGGCTGTCCTCTCGGCATTTTGCCAGGAGGGGGGTGAGACAGGTGGTTGAGAATGCTCCAGAGGGCTCTCAGCCACGCGTGCCTTCATCAAGCCATCCTCCCGACATAAACATGGAACCGCTTGCACCATCCTAATGCCGGGGGTAGGTCGAGACACATGACTGAGAATGCTCCAGAGCGCTTTCAACTACTATGAGACTTCCTCCTCCGTCTTTTTGGCATAAGGACAAAGTGGGTCGCTGTGTTCTTCTGCCAAGAGAACAAGGAAAATGAGGAGGGCCTGAGGTAAGCACCCAGGGGACCACATCCAGCCCCAGGCCTTAGTTTGTCTGAGAGAATCAGAGCACGGGTTGACTCCTCCACACTGATGACCCTTTGAGGTATTTGAAAAGTATAGTCGTTCCACAAGTGTAGAGCTGCACAAAATTGTGCCCAGTCCTTACCTTGAGGCTTATTATGAGACAGTAGGCACCATTACACATTTGTTATGCAGTTCTCCGCCAGTCAGGACAACTGGGAATGACAAGGATACACACTGCTGGCGTGCTCAAGGTGTTTTAAAGTGTTGCAATAATCTAGAAGCGTTAATTTGCAGGCATTGAGGGTAGATCAGAGAAAATTCCCAAACCTGATCTAATGTTTTGCTGAAATAACACAGCTAAAAAGAGTGTTGAATGCCATTCTCTCTTGCTTTAGGCTTGTCAGCAGCAGCTGGGATCGGTGTGGATGACCTCCGCCGCTTGTGCATCCTGAGAATGAGCTTTGTGAAAGGCTGGGGCCCCGATTACCCGCGGCAGAGCATTAAAGAGACTCCGTGTTGGATTGAGATCCACCTGCACCGGGCTCTCCAGCTCCTGGATGAAGTGCTCCATACCATGCCGATTGCCGACCCCCAGCCACTAGACTGAGACCCCGTTGCAGCTCTTAGCTCTTCTAGAGTGAGGATGGTGGAGTGTAAAATACCATTTTGTTTATTACTGGAAGATATATTTTACTTCCATTCTGCTTAATCTCTTAACCAGGTTTTAAAGAGAAAATGTCTTTGCCACCTTGCTCTCAGCAGAAAGAATATGAATGAGTTCCCCACCTCCAGATTTTGCTTCTGAGGTTGTGGGAGGCTGGCGTCAACCAGCCGTCTTTTTATCGTAATCCTGGTGCGATCACTGCTTTCTGCCTAGGGAATCTTGCTCGGCTCAATGGAGCCTCCTCCAAATTCTCACTGAGGCACGATACTGCCACTTTAAACAATCCTATGCATTTCAGGGAGCCCAGAAATGGAGCTCCGCTTGTGCAGTTCTTCAGGCTGCCCTTGAATCCACCCCAAATGAGCAAAATCATGTTGATTATTCTAAAGGGAGGATTTTCGTGCTCTGCATTACTATGGCACTGGAGCATCTCTCATAGGGAGACTCCTGCATGTAAAATATTTATGTACACATATTCTTTTAAAATACACTAAAAGGAGATGGGCTTCAGAGCTGGCACTAAATTCAAGTGCACCATGAAATATTCAACACAGAGAATTACCAGTGAAATGACATAACAAATGTCTAATGGCAGGAACATATTTTCATCACTATTCCCAACTGATTTTTTAACTACAGCAAAGAGCCTGTTAAAATGTTTGCAGTTGAGAGGGCATGAATATGTGTTTTACAGAACTTGGAGTGCCATCTTTAAACTTCATAATCACGTTTAATGGTTGCATCATTGAGAACCCAGATTTCTTTTTTAATCTTTCGACATTTCTACTCAGGGCAAGATGGCAAACTTGTTTTTATACCTCTTGGTTATTTTAAGCTCTTTATTCCATCAACAATCTTATCTATTTGCATTGACTTTGTATAGAGAATTTCAAGTAGAAGTTGGAAATGTATTTGGCTGTATGACAGATGCAATATTATGCTTTCTCTAGTTAATAAAAATATTGGAAAAATTCTCCAAATTCTGTGAGATACTTAAATATTTCAGTTTTGTTAAGTATTTTTCTACACTTTGAACATACCTAGTTTTCTTGGACAGTTTGCTCCAGAGCTTGGAAAAAGTACTTTTGGGGGGCTATTAATCCCAGAGTTCTCCAACTAGCAGACCCAGTGGCTGTGTTGGCTGGAGGGTTCCGGGAGTTGTAGTAAAAACCACTTTTCAAACTTCAGTTGTTTCCTGAAAGTAGTGCAGTAAACAAGGGGTTTGCTCACAGATTCTGTGTACCAGTAATGTTGTCTTTCTTTCACTGTTGGTGGTGCCAAAATATAAATATAGGCAGGAGGCTGGGGTGAATCTCTTATCCTCCACAAAGTACTTGATTTCCCAACCTCCTGCCTGTATTTACCTCTCCTTCCTTTCTTACCTAGTTAACGTGGAATCATAGAATTGCAAGAGACCACAAGGGGGGCTGCCCAATCCAACTCCATTCTGCCATGCAGGAACACACAATCAAAACACTCTTCTTGACAGATGGTCATCCAGCCTCCAGAGAAGGAGACTCTACCATACTCTTAGACAGCATATTCCACTTTTGAACAACTTTCAACATTAGGAAGTTCGAATAAGGCCTTCGAGGAGGTCCTCCATGATCTTCTGGCAGACCAACTAGTCCAATGTGGGATAGGCAAAACTATAATTAGGTAGATCTGAAATTGGTTAAGTGAACAAAGCCACTTAACCAATTTCATCCTGGAAAGAAGTGACAAGTGGAGTGCCATAAGCAGGGTTCTGTCCTGGGCCCAGTTCTGTTCAACTTCCTTATTAATGACTTAGATGAAGGGTTAGAAGGCATGATCATCAAGATTGCATATGGGACCAATTTGGGAGAGATAGCCAAAACTCCAGAAGTCAGGAGCAGAATTCAAAGCAAACTTAACAGATTAGATAGATGATTCGCCAAAACTAACAAAATGAGGTTTAACAGGGACAAATGCAAGATACTCCACTTTGGCAGAAAAAATGAAATTCAAAGTTACCGAATCGGAGGAGTGCCTGGCTCAATAGCAGTAGATGTGAAAAAGATCTTGGAGTCCTCATGGACAACAAGATAACATGAGCCAATGGGATTTTGGCCTGCATAAATAGGAGTTGAGTGTCTAGATCCAGGGAAGTCATGCTACCCCTCTATTCTGCTTTGGTCAGACCACACTTGGAATCACACTGTGTCCAATTCTGGGCACCGCAATTGAAGGGAGATGTTGACAAGCTGGAATGTGTCCAGAGGAGGGAGACTAAAATGATCAAGGGTCTGGAGAACAAGCCCTATGAGGAGCAGCTTAAAGAGCTGGGCATGTTTAGTCTAAAGAAGAGAAGGCTGAGAGGAGAGAGGAAGTCACAGGGAGGAGGAAGCAAGCTTGTTTCCTGCTGCCTTGGAGACTAGGATGCAGAGCAATGGCTTCAAACTGCAAGAAAAGAGATTCCATCTGAACATGAGGAAGAACTTCCTAACTGTGAGAGCTGTTCAGCAGTTGAACTCTCTGCCCCGGAGTGTGGTAGAGGCTCCTTCTTTGGAGGCTTTTAAGCAGAGGCTGAATGGCCATCTGTCGGGGGTGCTTTGAAGGTGATTTTCCTGCTGCTTGTCGGGGTTGGTCTGGATGGCCCATGAGGTCTCTTCCAATTCTGTGATTCTATGATTAAGTGGAATCTCTTTTTCTGTAGCTTGAATCCATTCTAAAGGGAAGACTTGAGAAACGCAATTATTCAAAGCCTTCTCACCAACTAAAACATTACACCTCACTAAACAGGTACCATTGTTCTTAAAATGTCAGTTATTCTTGCCAAAGTCCTCATTAAATGGTAGGTGGGCTTCCATCTTCCATTAGTAGAGGCATTCCCCTTTTTTTGCAGGGGAAGGGATTCCTCTTCAAGAGGGTGCCTGCCATCATAAGTATGCAACTCTCTCCAAATGTTCACCTTTCCTAGGCAAATATATGCATTCAATTGAACGCTCAGTTAAAGCCAGTCCATGTGATGGAGGAAAGCTTTGTTTAATTAGGTGGCAACCCTAATGGAAAATGTATGTACCTGTGTTCATTTTTCTTAATGTAGATCCTTCTTGCCGTTAGTAGAAAGTATGGCTGTGTGTATCCCCAAGAGAGATTCCTTGTCCTTGTAGCAGTTCTGTTTTTAACTGATGGTGCTGGAGATTTAACAGATTGGTGAATCCTGCATCAAATGATTTCATCACAGTTCTGATGACTATGTTGAGGTGCAAGTAAGGCGTGCTATAGGATCTCAAGCTGCTGTGGAGTTTTTTCAGAGCACAGTTAAATAGTAAAAACCTCTTTGAATGGTGAAGCAGTTGAACAGGTTCTCCAAATTCAGATTTAACCTCAGAGGTGCCATGTGCTAGCATTCATGAGTTCCAGTTTCTGCTTCCATGCCACTTTGTGGTCCCAGCAGCTGTGGTCTTGCGCTTCAGGAGCGGTCAGCGGTCCAAGGGTACATTCTCCTGTCCCAGCTTCTTCTTGTCTTAGACCAGACTTCTCCAATCTGGCATGCTTTCGTTCCATTGGACTGCCATCTCCCATCATCCTCAACCGCTGGCCATGCTGATTGAAAGTGATAGCAGATGCAGTCCAACACATCTGGAGAGCCTCAGATTGGAGATAGCTGGCTCAACCAAATGTTTCCCTGCTTTAGGAATGGCCTGCATGCTGTTATAAAAACGCAGCCTTGTTTCAAGAAAGGGTGAATGCTTCTCTGCTGTACAAGTTACCGGAATGAGGCAAATTTGCATACTTGCCTATTTTGCATAGTCAGTCTAGCTGTTAATCTGGGCATGTTGAAAATCCTGCCTAGGACCTCTCCCTCTCCACTTGCCTTGCTGTCTTTGCTCATCAGTTTGGACAATGAAATTCTCCTTTTAAAAAAATCAAATGCTGGGATTCTCATCAAACTCAGTCAGGCTCACAAGACTGCCAGTATGTCTGCAGATATGCAATTGTGATGTACACAGAGCCACACTCCTCCCAAGCTGTGAAATCTTTCAGAAGTAGGCCTTCTTTGTTTTACGTAGCTGTAAGGAGCGTGGGGAGGGTGTGTGTGTTTTTATTTGGTTTACCAAACTTCTTCGGAGCTTATGTTGTTTCCATTTCAAAGTAAAATAAAGAAATAGATCTTCTGATTTCCTCCTGTTGTTTGTTAAGCGGAATTGCTGTAGTGTGGTGCATTCATATCTTCAAAATGAAAGGATACCTGGAGACGAAGATAACTTGGTAAGAAAGACACATTGCGGGGAAGTGGGGTTTTTGTCCCTATCTGTTGGGCAGTTTACAGAAACATGCCTGCTATAAATGTTATTCTACTGTGATAACATATCAAGGTTTAATGTATTGTCAAAGGCTTTCATGGCTGGAATTACTGGGTTGTTGTAGTCTTTTTGGGCTATATGTGAGGTCACAACCTTTGAGGATGCTTGCCATAGATGTAGCCGAAACATCAGGAGAGAATGCTTTTAGAACATGGCCATATAACCCAAAAAACTTACAACAACTCATATCAAGGTTTGTTATACACACACACACACACACACACTGTATTTTCTGGCATATAAGACAACTGGGCGTATAAGATGACCCCCAACTTTTCCAGAGTTTGGGCATTTGGGATATACTTGCCGTATAAGACTACCCCTCTTCCAATGCACACCAAATAAATTTTTTTTAAAAACCATCAGATTTAATTTCAGTATGGTAATTTTTCTATTTTCATTTTATCGTACCTCCTCTGCCTCTCAGATCTCACACATGCGCACCTGTGCTGCTTCATTGCAGTCCTCAGAAGCGAGATCTGAGAGGCAAAGGAGGTATGGTAATAGGATACAATGGCAGGCCAGACGGTTGAAAGAGGTGTGTTTTTTTGGGCACAGCGGCACTCTATCTCTTTTTTCCATATTCCGGGCGTCCCAGACGCCTGCAGCTTGCTCAGCCTTTCATTTACACCTTCCCAATGAGACGCCCCCGCACCTCGTTATCGGGACCACGTTAAATCACTTCTTTCTACAAATCCTGGTGAATGGATCTTCTTCTATCATACTTGTACAGCGCTGCCCTTGCTGCTTTCATATGCTCGCTGCATATGGCAGGGATGCGGCTGCGAACTGTTTTGAACTTCCCCCACCATATACAGTGACTGCAGATTCTCCAGTTCGGCTCAAAAGTTTCAGCACCCACCCTATAAGACAACCTGGCGTATAAGACGACCCCCAACTTTTGAGAATATGTTCCTGGGCTAAAAAGTAGCCTTATATGCCATAAAATACAAAACAATATATGCCATAAAATACACAACAATAGGGAATAAAGCCACTATGTTTCAAAAGCAAGACCTACTGTGCCTCTTTCTGAACTTTCTGGAAAAGAACCTGATTCCTAGGCTGGTGCATAATTCTGAATAAAATCAGAACTTGTATCTGATGTGTTAAATTTATCTGGCTCAGAAGTTTCAGCACCCGACCACCAATTTTTGAGAAGATTTTCCTGAGTTAAAAAGTAGTCTTATATGCCAGAAAATATAGTGTGCGTATGTATACACACATACACACATGCACAATTAAAACAAGGTATGGGCCATCTGCGCCCGTACCTTGGGAAGTCTGACTTGGCCACGGTGGTCCACGATTTGGTTACATCCCATTTAGATTACTGCAACGCTCTCTACATGGGGTTGCCTCTGAAGACTGCCCGGAAGCTCCAACTAGTCCAACGAATGGCAGCCAGAATACTAACGAGCGGGGTACAGGGAGCATACTACTCCTCTGTTGCACCAGCTCCACTGGCTGCCAATTAGCTTCCGAGCACAATTCAAAGTGCTGGTGTTAACCTATAAAGCCCTAAACGACTCTGGCCCAGTTTACCTGTCCGAACGTATTCTCCCCTATGAACCATCAAGATTGTTAAGATCGTCTGGAGGGGCCCTGCTTTTGATCCCACCAGCCTCACAAAGCGCGTCTGGTGGGGA